TCGTTTTATACATACCTGAACTCACGGTTTTACAAGACAAGCCAACTCCCCATGATGCCAACACACGAAGCTGCAAACCCTTTTTTCTACAAACCACCCCGGAGATCGAGTTCCCATAACCGTTTTTGCAAGAACTCGATCCTCTGTTTACTCAAACTCCGAAGCTCTTCCAAAAGTTTAACGAAGTCAATCGACTGTCTTCGATGATCTTCGGCCATATATCTTTGAAACCCGAATCTCAGATGATCCCTCACAGAACTCGATAGATAGCAATCGTTTTTTCCGCATGTCGATCGTGCATGATCGAAATACTCCACGAAAATCCTAAAGCATTCCGTGCTGTCGATAGCCCGTGCAGGATCCGTAAACAAACTCGTATTTGCTCCCTGCAACGGAATTTCTTGAAGTTCTTGATGATTTCCATGATATAAAGCGGTTGATGACGATATGAATTTGTAAGTACGACATTCTCCTAATGGGAAGGGCTCGTCGGATCTCACCCCGTCTCCTCTTTTGTTGTTGTATCCCGGATAATCTTCGCGCTTGAATTCAACACATTCGAGCAATGTCAAACAACTTTGGGAGGCGAGTTCTACGATATTCCAACAGTCGAACGGGAATTTAGTCTTGTGGGATACGTGGACTTCCCCGTTTGGTCGCAACATTTGACTTGCATTCTTGAAGAAACTGCAAACCAGATTTCTATGGATCCTACAAGTTGAAGACAGAATGAAGACATTAAAGGCAAAAAGTTTAAAGTGTTACAATAGGTTTATAAGATGTTTTTAGCCGTTTTAACAAGTTTTTAGGACGTTTTTTAAAATAAATTGTCTTACTGACTATTTTATACGACACTGTTTGAAAATATGTCTTATAAAAAGATGAGTTTATATGACATTTTCTCAAAAGTCTCCTACAAAATAGCTAACAAGACACTTTATTTTAAAAACGTCATAAAAAACTTGTTAAAACACCTAAAAACGTCTATTGTAACTCTTTTAAATATGACACTTTATTGTTTGGTCCTATAAACCCTAGTTCTATAAGCTATTCTATTATGACGCTTAGGCAATCCAGGCATCCTATAAAGTCAATTTTGTTGTAGTATTAAACATCATATAAAAAAGTGAACTAAGCCGAATAACTTTTGTGGTTGCACGTGCTTCCACTAGAACCCCCCAATTTGCCATTGCGAGTCATGTTTGCATTACCAAAAGCATCCTAAGAAAACTATATATTTCTTTTAAGGGGGGTGTTTAGAAACTGATTTGAAACAATTTATGCTTTTTTACAAAAGTCATTATCGACTTATTATAAGTTAGAACGGGTTTCTCTGCCCCTGCGGGGATGGAGCGACATAAGTTTTGAGAAAATGGTTTAATTTCTTCAAAAACTCTTTATTATCGGTCTGACACTGGTATAAATTGTTTATCCAAACACCCAAAAGTGCTTATTACCGGTGCCACACCGGAATAAGTCAATAAGTTGTTTTTATAAGCAATCCCAAATACCCCCTAAATCTTCACAAGAACAATAGATTGTTTGCAAGAGAAGACCAAATATGATAGTTTTGAGAAGCAAATTAGTATGAATGCATGTAAAAATAAGCTTACATGATAACTCCGTCATCGCTTTCTTTTCCAAAAAAACCGGCATGCGGGAAATTGTACACAATGCGATCAAACTTTCGCGGATGAAGATGACTATGAATCTTCATCGTGCGTGCATCAACTCCGAATAAGAGCCGAGCTCCCGAATTATTCAATCGATCCAAGTTTGTTTTCGCACTCTTGTATTTCTTAATCACAACATCTAGCAAAATGAAATTATCGATACAATTCATTATGCATTTAAATGAAGAATGTACGACAGATGCAACAAATAAACTCACACACCCTCTCCATCTTTGGTGAGGATTGAACCCCTGACCTACCACGAATCTTATTATCAAATTCATGATAAACCCAATATATTTCATGATCTAAGGGCAAAGTTGGTTTCTAAGATTTGAGAAGGATTTGGAATCG